TGAGTGAATCCAGCTTTTTCCATATTTTTCACAAATGTATTGCCATGGACAGGGAATCAAAATTCGGATGCTTGGAAACTGGCATGTACTTATGACAGTTGCAGAGTCCCCGGGGAGTCATGTGATCGTGACCTTCTGATGAGCAAAGCCGATGGGGAAGCCAGATGTAATTAACAGCCGGGTGACTAATTTCACAACTGCAATGAGGATTCCCTTAACAACCGTGGCAGGAAAGGTTGTAAAATGCAGCAAAACTTGCTTAACAATGGTTCTGTTTGGCAGTGGAAATTTGGGGCTTAATTGTGGTTGTAAGTCGAGGACTACTTGTATCCCCACTCTCCACCGAATGGCTTGTTTAATTTTAGCTTGGCAGATATGCTTGTTTATTACTTAACTTAACTGAATTGAATTCTTTATTGTCATTGTACATATATACACAGTATATACATAAAACCAAGTTCACATAACTCCCAGAGACCAGACCCAACACGCACAAACACAAAGCCATCACTCTGCTAAACAAATAATTCCCTGAATACTGTTCAACTATTTACAAAGTGTACACTACTATTATTGTTAATCTTCTCACCACTCCTTATCACCCAGGCCCTCCCACTTGACTGTTTCCTAGTATGATTTGATTGTTAATTGTACCCTATGACTATCATTAAGTGTTGTACGTTACGATTCTTGATTCTTAACAAATGTACCTTTTCTTTATGTATACTGAGAGTATTTACACCAAGACAAATTCCTTGTGTGCCCTATCACACTTGGCCAATAAAAGTATTCTAATTATAGCTCTGGGATAAAAACTGTTCAGGAAAACATGCGGTCCGAGTTTTAATTGCTCTTAGTCTTCTGCTAGAAGGTAACAGTTCACAAAGATTGTAAGCAGGATGGGAAGAGTCTCTGAGAATGTTGTGCAACTTCCTCAAACAGCGAGATGCAAAGATATTATCCAGGGCTGGAAGTGCCAGAAATTTAAAACTACCAACCCTCTCCACCTCAACTTACTCAGTCGGATGGAGTTTATTCAACAAGCCATGTTTAACCCAACCATGGCTTAACAGGATGCATCAACCCAGCCTATGACAAGTACTTCCTGTGACCCAAATTTAGAACTAGGATTTTTTTCAGGATTTGCCGAATACAAGAAGCCCAAATCTCTCCTTTAAAGAAAAAAGGAATACCTTTCCCTGACTTACAACCCCATTTTTTGGTCATTAAGAGAGACAGTGTTCCAATTTACGACCTTTCTTGCCACAGTTGCTAAGTAAATCACTGCAGTTGTTAAGTGATTAAGACACAGTGGTTAAGCGAATCTGGCTTAATGTTGAACATTTAACCACTATTTTTCTATCAATTCCTCACCCTTCTTCCTGCCTGACATCAGCAGAAACTTATGTGAATCATATTCACAAAGGCAGAAGCAGTTTTGCCCTGGTAAATCTTTCCTGCGTAATGGTGTAAGTAGTCCTCCACTTAAGACTACAAGAGAGCCCAAACTTTCTGCTGCTAAGCAGGACAGCCGCAGATCGAGTTTTGCTCCACGGTACGACCATTTTTGCCACATTGGCTAAGTGAAATACTCCAGTTGTTTAAGTTAATGACATGCTTGTTAAATGAATCCAGCTTCCCATTGCTTGTCAGGGGGTTGCAAAAGGAAGACATTGCAACCGTCATAAATACGAGTCAGTTGCCAAGCATCTGAATTTTGATCACGTGACCATGGGGATACTGCAACGGTCGTAAGCGTGAAAAACGGTCATAAGCCAGCCTTTTTTCCCCCCATGTCCTTTTAACTTTGAACGGTCACTAAACGAATGGCTGTAAGTGGAGGACTTTCTATACTCGTTTTTTTTTTTGATGCCACAGCTGCCTTCCCAAAACTCAGTATGACAGCTGTTTGGCCACCTCGGGGTCATTTGGAGATCCGGTCAGCGCTAACCGGTGTCCCTGGGTGCCATTTCTTTTATCAAATATGTGCACAATTTCGGACACGCACCTCTGCCGGACGTGTGCAGTCAGTTGGATGCTCAGAGTTCAGACAGCCTACAGCTTTTCTGCACTCGCTCGCTCGCTCACACACACACACACACACACACACACACACACACGTCCCCCCGCAAAAACCAAGAAATCTTTGGGCAATGCCCCAGTGCCATATAGCTGAGGACTACCGATACCTGTATTAATTTAGTTATGGGAGCGTCCTCACTTGAGACCTTCAAGAAGAGATTGGGCTGCCATCTGTCAGAAATGGCGTAGGGTCTCCCGCTTGGGTGGAGCGGGGTTGGACTAGATGACCTACAAGGTCCCTTCCAACTCCGATTATCTGTATCGTGCTGTATGGAAGGAGTAACCGAGAAACATCTGGTGTTTCCCCCCCCCACACACACACCATTAAAACAGCAGCAAGAATATACAGGGAGGTTTTTTTTTTCTAAGTTTTTCCATCTTAACCATAAAAATGTCAAAAGGTTATAACGTGCAACAATTCTTTCAGACGAGTGGAGAATTTTTGCTTAAGATCTGCTAAGGGGAAATTACCTGTGAAAGACAATATGGAAGATCTGTCAGCCTTCAAGGTGGCCCGGACAAGAAATCAATACTGGGAATATTAAGGCTGCTTTCCTTGCAAGGAGGAAGTAAAACAAAAAAACAAAAAAAAAACTTGCAAGTCTGAAAGGACAATTCTTCCCCTCCCCGCTTCTCCTCCCTCCCCCTCCCCTTTAAAGGGGGCCCCCATCTAGCAACCATGGTTGGCTTGGGGATTTTTCCTCTGTATCCAATCTTGCCTGAAACCTTCCTTCCTTCCTTCCTTCCCTCCCTCCCTCCTTCCTTCCTCCGTTCCTTCCTTCTTTCCTTCCTTTCTTCCCTCCCTCCCTCCTTCCTTCCTTCCTTCTATTCTTCCTTCCCTCCCTCACTCCTTTCTTCCTTCCTTCCTTCCATCCTTCCTTCTTTCCTTCCCTCCCTTCTTCCTTCCTCCGTTCCTTCCTTCTTTCCTTCCTTTCTTCCCTCCTCTATCCTTCCTTCCCTCCCTCACTCCTTTCTTCCTTCCTTCCTTCCATCCTTCCTTCTTTCCTTCCCTCCCTCCCTCCCTCCTTCCTTCCTTCTATCCTCCCTCCCTCCTTCCTCCGTTCCTTCCTTCCTTCTTTCCTTCCTTTCTTCCCTCCCTCCCTCCTTCCTTCCTTCCTTCCTTCTATCCTTCCTTCCCTCCCTCATTCCTTTCTTCCTTCCTTCCTTCCTTCCTTCTCTCCTTCCTTCCCTCCCTCCCTCCCTCCCTCCCTCCTTCCTTCCTTCCTTCCTTCCTTCCTTCCTTCCTTCCTTCCTTCCTTCCTTCCTTCTTTCCTTCCTTCCTTCCCTCCCTCCCTCCTTCCTTCCTTCCTTCCTTCCTTCCTTCCTTCCTTCTATCCTTCCTTCCTCACTCCCTTCCCATTCTCTTTCCTCATTCATTCATTCCTTTCCTCTCTTCCCTTCATTTGCTGTTCTTCCCTACGCTCATCCCCCCTTCCTTTCCCTTTCCATCGTCTTCCTGTTTCCTTTCTTCCTCCCTTGCTTCCTTCCCTCCTTCTTTCTTCTATTTCTTCCATCTTTTTTCTCTTCATCTTTCTTTTCTTCCTCTGTTCCCTCCTTTCCTCTTTCCTTCCTTCCTCCCACTCTGCCTCCCTACTTCCCTCCCTCCTTTCCCATTCTTTTTCCCCATTCATTCTTTCTTCTCTTCCTTCCTTTTCTCTCTTTCCTTCATTTGTTCTCCTTCCTTCCCCTCCCGTCATCTCCCCTTTCCTTCCCTTCCCTTTCCTTTTTCTTCCTGTTTGCTTTCTTACCCCCTTGCTTCCTTCCCTCCTTCTTTCCTTTTCACCCCTCTTTCTCACCTCCCTTTTCTCCTCTTTCTTTTCTTCCTCTGTTCCTTTCCCCTTTCCTTTCTTACTCCTTTCCTCCCTCCCTATTACTTTTCATCCACCTGCCCTCCCTCCTTTCTCCCTTTTCCCCCTCACTTTTCATTACCCAGCTAAATAACGTCACCAGTGCTAGAAAGGAGTGGCATTCTCTCTCTCTCTCTCTCTCTCTCTCTCTCTCTCTCTCTCTCTCTCT